TCACACAGGCTGGTGTGCTTCTTCCATGTGGGCTTTGTTGTTTCTCAGCTAGATGGCTGCTTGTTTACCTTCAAGCCTTTAGGATCCTGGACACTATATCACTATATCTTTTGATCACTGGGCACCATCAGTTTTCTTCACCACATTTGCTTATGCACCCGCTTTGTCTTCAGTGATCATGTATGGAAGGTAAGCTTCGCAGAGTGCCGGATTATTAGAACAAAGTGTTCTTGTGTTGAGGGAGTACTTGAGTAGGGGCCCAATGTCCATCTGCTTCCTTAATACTAAACCTATAAATATATGTTCGTAGATCTATTTCACCCTCGTCGTATATAAATATATTTAGATCTGTATATGCCTGTATTTAGACCTCTATAAATGCCCTTTGCCTCCTAGTTCTTTCCTCTATTTCTTTGTACTTTCCTCTTGTCCCACTTCCTCTTTTCCCATGTTCAGCCTTCATTTGGGTTTCAGGAATTCCTCTTGGTTACATTGTCCTTGATCCAGCCCTGTCATATCTCCTACACTCTCCTTGCCATCGATTTTCAGTCACTTGTTGTTCCCTTGTCCCTGGGTTTGTTAACACCCACTTCCTTTCCCCCATCTCCCCCTCTCCCATGTCCCCCAGGAACTGTCATCCCGTTGTTCTCTCTTCCGGCTTCTTTATCCCGCCTATCCCATCCAGGTAAGACATGCAGTGACAACAATATGCACAAACACAAGACTGAGCACAAGAAAGCAACAATAGAAAATAAAACAATAGCTACAACAACAAAACCATATAAATAGTTCAAGGTCTATTTATTGTCCTTTACGAGTGTTTTCCAGTCGAGTCTGCTGGGGTGCCACGCCCTGGTCCCACAGTCTATTTTTGGTATTCACAGGGGACTTCACTGCTCTGCTCCCCTTGCTGCTCTGCTGCATGCCCCCAGTGTCTGACTCCAGCATGGTGGGCTCAGGGTGGGCACAATTCTCGCCATGTGTCACCAGTGTTGTCCTCCGTGGCGCTATGGATCAGTGAGAAACGCTGTGTCTCATGGTGGGGCTGACCCTATCGTCCTTTCTTGTGCATTGGCTGTTCTAAGCAGAAATATTGTCCTCATGGCTTGATGGGCCAAGATGTGTTTCACTCTTTTTTCCCTCCCTCCTCGTTGGCTCCTGTGTGCTCTCATCAGACAAGTCCCTCTCCTTGAGCTGTAGCTTCAGTGCTGTCCTCTGAAGTGAATTCTTCAGCCGGGGGTGGGGGTGGGTAGGCTGTCCACTTAGTTGGTAAAGGGGCTGGTTCCTCAATTGGTTCCCTGCTTCATGTCATTGTGTTGTGATATTAGCAAGTTCTGTCTCAGCTATTGTCTGTAGTTGTTTTGTACAGTAAAGTAAGATGGCAACTTGAATGACTGACAAATTATATTCACTTTTGGTATGCTAATGGGATCTACTTTTTTGTACCTTATAACTTAAAATAGTTTCCAAAATTTCTGTGATGAGTCCACCTCTAATCATATTTAATGATTTATATAAATTCTACAATCAATTCTTTACCAGAGAAATAAAGACCTAAGTTCAATTTAGGAAATGAGAAGTTACCTAGTTCATGTAACCTGTTGTACCTATTAGTTACTATATTTTTTTGGCCTGTCTACCTGAAAAAGTATGTGCCAATAAACCTGACTACACAGTATTTCTTTATAAATTCTTGTTCTTTCCTTTAAAAAAATAGATATAATTCACATACAATGAAAATGTTTTAAACAACATATATATAGTCTGATAAAATTTCATAAAACTATATAACCAATTCCCCTATGACAACAGAATATTTTTCTTCATTTGAGGGATTCAAGTAAGCAACATTTTCCATCAAAAGACATATCTACTAATCGATCACAAGGATCAACCTATAACCACCTCAGGGGGATGAACAACGCAAAAGTGGGTGAGGGGTGATGGACGATGATGTAAGATACGAAAATATTAATCTATAACTTATCAAGGGTTTGTGAGGGAAGGTGAGCGGGGGAGTAAAGGGGAAGAAATGGGGAGCTGATATCAGGGGCTCAAGTGGGAAGAGAATGCTTTGAAAATGATGACAGCAGCATATGTGCAAATGTGCTTGACACATTGGAGGAATATATGGATTGTGATAAGAGATGTTAGAGCCCCCAATAAAAGTATTTAATTAAAAAAAAAAAAGAAAGACAACTACTAAAAGAAAAAGAAGAAACCGAAACCAAAGTTGAGCAATGGTTGCCATGGGTGAAAGAGGAAGAGTATTTGCTTAGGAAGCATTGAGTTTATGTCCATGGTAGTGGAATAATTTGGAAAAGGATGTCAACAATGGTTGTACAACTCAAAGAACATAATCAAAGACACTGAATTATACATCATGCAGAAGTTGTTAAATTGGAGAATGCTTTCTTCTGTATATTTTTGCCATAATTAAAAAAAATCACACTAATAACAATGGGTACAAGGAAGAAGACAATGTTCTGGGATTGATTGTGGTGGCGACTGTGCAGCAACTCTTGATATCGTTGCACTACTGCACTGTATGATTTGTGGAAGAAGTGCCAATAGAACTGCTAAAAAAAAAGGCACATCTACAAAAATGTAAATACTGAGAGGCTTCAGTTTAGTTTTTAGTTGACATTTCTTAAAATGTTAGTACTGCTATACTGAAATTTTGGAGACAGATAAGGCTACTTACTCCCATAAAGATTTGTAGTGTCAGAAACCCTAAGTAGTATACTGTTCTGCTCTGTCTGATAGGGTTAGAACCAACCTGGTGGCAAAGAGTGAATGAACAGATACTGAAAATAGGATTGGAAGAAAAGAAGAATAGAAATCTAGCGTGTAATGAAATCTGGAAAAGAAGGAAGATACTGGAATATGAATAGGGCTTTCAAGATGAAATCTTTACAAGAGCAGGCAGCCTCATCTCTCCTAAGGTAGGGATGAACCACCAACCTTGCAGTTAGCAGCCCAAAGTCTAGGGCACAGTGCTACTGAAAAAAACAAACTCACTGCCATCACATCAGTGTTGGCTCATAGTGACCTACCCTGTGGTTTCCCAGACTGAGGAGCTTCTGGACTCCTTTAATGCTATATGAATCTTTACTAAAGTCAACCGAAATGTTGACCTTTTCCACCCAAAAATAACCTGGTGTACATTCATATGTCCTACCTTCTTTTCCTTTTTATGATAGTTTGCAGCTATTCTTACCCTCCCTTTCTAAGCTGCCCCCTCCCATTAACATACATTCCCTGCTCCCCTTCAAGCTACTATTCTAAAATTGATCCTAGGGAGTTTTTTAAAAGGCAGAATGCTCAAGGCAGACATTTTGTCCCAGTTAAACTACACTACTGTTTATTTCTTTTAAAAACTGTAGGAGATATTTCTAGTAACAAGGTTTACAGATTTTCTCAGGGCAATAGTTTCAGGTACTCATTCAACCTTCATGGCTCCAGGAAGTTTGGAGTCCACGATTATTCCAAATTTTGTTCTGTATTTTCCTCCTTTTGATCCGGGCTTTTCTATGTTATCTTTGATCAAAGCAGTCAGTAATGGTAGCATACAGTTCTGGTGTCAAACAAAGGAGGCAGCAGTCTATGGAGCTAATTAGCCACACATTGCATATTCTCATCTTATTCCTGAATTGACTTCTTCCTGCTGTTCAAGGTGCACAGAAATCAGTTGCTGTGCCTTGAATGACCACAGGTAAGCTTGCAAGACCTTAGCCAATGTGCAACAAACTAAGAGGTAGAACAGAAGCCTTAAAAATGGCTTTTAGGCCAACTAACTGGAATGTTCCTTGAAACTATGACCCTAAACCTCCAAACCAAATCCCATGAATGTCTGACTGTACACCAGCAGCCTCTGTGGCACCTTTTTGGGGGAGGGGGGTCATTGTAATAAATATATTACACAACTTTTATCAATTTAACTTTTACAGGTGTACAATTTTTTAACAGTAATCACAGTCACCAGCTGCACAGTCTTACCCTTGGACTATTTTGACCTACCAGAGAAAGAAAAAAGAAACCCAAGCAATTCAGTTCATGGATAGTATGACAAATGCCAGAAGAGTAAGAGTCATAGGGCGCTACAGAAACAAGATTAATCTAATCCAGATTAAAGGGATAAAAAAGTATGCCTTTAGGATGCCTGGTGGGGCTTGATCAAGGGCAATGTAGCTGCGAGGAATGACGGAAACCCAAATGAAGGCTGAACATGATAGTGGGACAAGGGGGAGAGTAAAAAGAAATAGAGGAAAGGACTAGGAGGCAAAGGACATTTATAGAGGTCTAAATACAGGCATGTACCTGTGTAAAGATATTAATATATAATGATAGGGAAATCTATATACATATATTTATATGTTAAATATTAAGGTAGCAGTCGGACATAGGGCCTCTACTCAAATACTCCCTCAATGCAAGAACACTTTCTTCTAATAACCTGGCATTCCATGATGCTTACCTTCCCAACACAATCGCTGAAGACAAAATGGGTGCATAAGCAAATGTGGTGGAGAGCTGATCGTGCCCGGCTATTAAAAGACATAGCATCTGGGGTCTTAAAAGTTTGAAGTGAATCAACAGACATCTAGCAGGGAAGCAACAAAGCCCACATGGAAGAAGCACACCAGCCTGTGTGACCATGAGGTGTCACACAGGATCAATGGGATCAGGTATCAGGCATTAAAGACCCAGAACAAAAGATCTTATCAATATGAATGAGGAGTCCGGAGTGGAGACCCAAAGACCATCTGTAAACAACTGGACAGAGGGTCATTAAGGAAGAGATGAGCCAATCAGGGTGCAGTATAGCACTAGGGAAACATAAAACTTTCCTCTAATTCTTTAATGATTCCCTCCCTCCAACTATCATGACCCTGATTTTACCTTACAAATCTGGCTAGACCAGAGCAGGTACACTGGTACAGATAAGAGCTGGAAACACAGGGAATCCAGGGGAGATAAACCCCTCTGGACCAAGAGTAGTGATACCAGGAGGGGAAGGGGAAGGTGGGGGAGGAAAGGGGGAGCCGATCACAATGATCTACATATAACCTCCTCCCTGGAAGACGAACAACAGAAAAGTGGGTGAAAGGAAACAGCAGTTGGTCTAAGACATGAAAAAATTTTTTATAAATTATGAAGGGTTTATGAGGGAGGGAGAGGGAAAAGGAGCCGATATCAAGGACCCAAGTAGAAAGAAAATGTTTTGAAAATGCTGATGGCAAGGTGTACACAAATGTTCTTGACACAATGGATGTATATATGGATTGTGATAAGAGCTTAAGAGTCCCCAATAAAATGATTAAAAAAAAAAGTTTTATCAAAAAAAAAAAAGATGACTTATCTGAGTCTTCAAAGCAATCATCAATGTGATAGCGAAGAATACACTAAGAAGGTATTCCAATTCCCCCCTCCTTTTTTCCCCACCATGAAATTTCTCGAGTGCTATACCACATCAATGTTTATAAAAATCTACATTTTAAAATTAGTGTTTTTTAAAAAGTCATTCATTATGTGTGCACTCATGTACAGTGAATTTGATCCAGATATTGCAGTTTATTTATTTTAAATACTTTTATTGGGGGCTCTTACATCTTCTATCACAATCCATACATTCATCCATTGTGTCCAGCACATTTGCACCTATGCTGCCATCATCATTTTCAAAGCATTTTCTTTCTACTTGAGCCCGTGATATCAGGTCCTCATTTTTACTCTTCCCTCCCCCGCCTGCCCTCCCTGCATTCATAAAATTATGTTTTAATCCTTACAACCCGATAATCTCATCTCTACTAACACTGATTTCTAAAAATTCAAGAAGCCTTTAAATGTAAAATCCAACTTCTACTCAGTTATCTTCTTCAAATACTCTGCAACTTTTAATGCTGATTTTGGGGATGCCGATACCTCTTGGTCATTGGGATTAACCCCTGCTCTCCATTTCTACAATATGAGTTGTCCATGCTTTTTCATTGGTAAAATCAGGCGCTGACTGTAGGATTACCCACTTGTCCTATCTCCTCAGTTAGTTCTTCAAAAGCAGGGGCAAGGTTATACTTAAAAGCAAATACTTAATGAGTTTTAAAGCAATCCTTTCTTTCTTACATACTGATTAGAAAACACATAGGGTTTTTTGTTAGAAAGGTTTATTTGTACCATTTGTTACAGGGATATGCAAATTCAAGCTAGGGTTTTTTGTTAGAAAGGTTTATTTGTACCATTTGTTACAGGGATATGCAAATTCAAGCTTGAATATCAGGCAGGGTGACAAATTCTGAAGTAGGAGCTCTGTATATGTCCGGAATGCTACCAAGTGACCGTCCCCCCAAGTACTCCACAGCTTCAGTACCATATCCAGATAGGACAGCATTAGGAACAAAATTACACTGGTCCACTCACAGACTATTTGTCTATTTAGTTTTCACAAAGCTAAATGAGTGGAGAATGTCACTAAGCTACTGAGAGGAGGAACGGGCATTCAGAGCCTTGCTGAACTCCAAAACCCACGTGTGTCTTCTCTACACTGCATTATTTAAAGGGCAATGCCTCTAGACAGCATGTCCTGGGGACAGGAAGCATCTTCCACATTGAACAATGTGTGACAGGTTTCAGAACCATCTGTCTAAGAGCAGTAAAGAACAGTGATACATACACTCACAAACTGTAAAGACTGGCTAAGGTAGCGTTCCAGTTTAATCCAGCTCATATCAAATGAGATCAAACCACGAGTTATTTCCTGCTGTGACCTTGAGAAAGCAAGAGTATTGTGATATCCTTATCTGCAAATGGGGATTATAACAGAATCTACCTTATAGGCTTACTAGGGCTAAATGAGTTAAAACACACAAAAAAGGGCTAGTTAGAACAAAAAGTCATTCTGGTAGCAGTGGGAACTAAGAGCTGAGCTGCTAACCTCAAGGTTGCTGGTTTAAATCCACTGGCCGTGCCTTGGAAAAAAAGACGAGGCTAGCTGCTCCCATACAGATTGGCAATCTCAGCAGCAGCTATGCGGGAGGATCAATGTGATAGACCTGGGTTAGGTTTGGGAGCTAGAATAAAAAGAGGCCCAGCGATATAATGGTGAAGTGCTGAGGCAAACCCACCAGCAGCTCCAGAAGAGAAAAGACTTGGTGATCCATCCTGGTAAATATCAGACTAGAAAATACTATGGTAGGACAGTTCCACTCTGTTTTATAGGGCCATTTTGAGTTAGAATCAATTCAATGGTGCCCAACAAAAAATTAGAACAATGTCTGGTCTTAAGGAAACACTAAATAAATATTTTCTATTATTATTTTTTGTTGTGTAAACCTGCAATTGAAAGCACTAAGATACAATTGTAACTATTTGAAGCAACATCAAATAAAGTTAGCAAAAATATATTATGCGAAGGAAACAAACACAGCAAAATAAGATGTTAAGCAATTAGTATGTAATATGTAGACTTTAAAAGTAGGGGGGGAAAGTAAGTATGTTTTCAAAACAAAATATCATAAACCAAAATCAAATCCATAGTCATTGAGTCTTAGACTCACAGTGACCTTCCATGGGATGTCCAACACTGTAAGTCTGTATGGGAGCAGACAACTTTTTCTCTAGAAAAGAGTTTCTTAAAATTTCCATAAGATTTAAACAAATCTTCAAAATTAAGTTGTTTTAATGTAATCTGGACAACCAGTTCTATTCTCTCTCTCATACCCACTCAACGTGTAGCTACTTAAACAACAACCTAAACCAGGGGTCCTCAAACTACGGTGCGCGGGCCACATGCGGCCCACTGAGGACATTTATCCCAGCCCACTGGGTGTTTTTGTCCCGTTTTTTTAACTTTAAAATAAGATCTGTACAGTGTACATGGGAATTTGTTCATAGTTTTTTTCTTTTTAACTATAGTCCGGCCCTCCAACAGGTCTGAGGGACAGTGAACTGGCCCCCTGTTTAAAAAGTTTGAGGACCCCTGTCCTAAACCTTTGAATTATGGCATCTGCAAACATACCATATACAACCAAATCCCTCAAAAAACAAACTGACTGCCACTGAGTTGCTGACAACTCATAACAACTTTAAAGGACAGGGTAGAACTGCTCCTTTGAGTTTCAGAGACTGTAATTCTTTACAGGTGTAGAAAGTCCCATCTTTCTCCCTCAAACCAACCAGTAGCTTTGAACTGCTGACTTTGCGGTCAACGGCCCACCACATTACCACACCATCGGGGCTCCTACCGTACACAACAGCACAGGGAAATTTATGCTGAATCTCCTTTGTACAAATTACCAAACTTTAATAATTATGAACATGTTGGCATCTCGTGGAATATTTTAATAACATCGATAATAAAAAATAAAAATATGCGGTAACTTCCAGCTTTATTTGATAGATTGAAATGGTCAGGAAAAGGGCTCCGCAAATTTGAAACTCAGTTTCAAGTAAACAAAGCCCAGTGATATTAGCTTGCTATTTAATCTTTTGTTCATTTTAATAAAATAACGATTAAAGAGAGCTTTGAGAACTAACACTTACTGGATGATGAGGTCGCAAATGAAAAGTATGAGGTGATACTACGGCTACAGCAAAGAAACGCAGAAATACAAAGCTGCTCACTGCAGAATACTGAACATGCGGGTCATCTGCAGGAAGACAAATGGTGAGATGTCATGGACAAAAGCACTGAACTAAAAGCAAAGATGACCAAATTAAAAAATATTGAAAAATCATGAAAACTAAATTGGAGACCATTGTAATTTGTCTAGTAAGAATTGAGCTGATGAAATGATAGCAATGATTGAGACTAAATTTTAAAAAAAAGGTCCTGAGTCCAAAAAAAATCTGTAAGAAATTTAATTAAAGACAAAGTTGCTAGATTTTCAGAAATGTTTTAATGTGAAAAAATAATCTCCCCTCATTTTTAAGAAGCGATGTCTTAAATTCTGACAACCAAAGTAAAAGCATCTAGCACTACCTAGTGGTAGTGCTGAACCCCCGGGGGAGTTCCAGTTTTAGGGCAAAACTCCTGATATAACAAAGACTGTGTAATACAGTCAGAAATGCTTACTTAAAAGGATTTTACTATTCCATGTAAAAATACAAGTGATAGATCTCATCTCAGACAAGAGTCACCACCTAACCCAACAGCCAGATAGTGGTGATGCAGGTAGGGAAGGAAAGGAATTCCTGGATTTGGCTTGAATTTTAACCCTTATAGAGCACTCACTAGATTACATCATTTAATCTGTAGGTCTAATCATATTTGTGACCCACCCATTGTCTCCCTCTTCAAGAAACTATGAAAATAACATGGCCAAAACAAAACAAAAACCTATCAAGACTAGTCCATTGAGGATATGAAGACATATTTAAGCCAACAAAAAGACAGCTAAGAAGATGTCTTTTCATTTTTTTAAAATGTGTTTTATCTTCACTTATTATGGGGACGTTTCCTTAATAAAAGTGTGATAATTAAAAGTGTTTTATAGGTCATTTATATAAATGAGAATTAAATGGCTAAACTACATGGCCAAGTTCATTGGGGGGTATACAGTGATCAGTGGCATGAGCTCTGAAGTAGGCCAGGCTAGTTTGAGGACATGCTTGTAAGCTGGCCACGACATGGTCAAGTTACTCAACTTGTGCACACTTCAGTTACATTATCTACCGAAAAAAAAAAAAAACTAACCCCAAGGGGTGGGAAGAAAAAAAGAAAAGGCAAAACAAGAAAGGGCCCGCCCCCCTAACAACCAACCCGGGGAACAAACCCAACCCTTAAAAAAATACTGTATCTTAGTCAGAACTTCATCTCTCCTTAAGTTAATGTCTCCATCCTTTTACTTTTCTTACCAAGGCTAGATTTAGTATACTTATTTGAAGTTAACTGTTGGTCTTCTGCTATAATTAGCAAAAGCCTGCCAGCCCTGCAACACTTCAGCATTGAGTAAATGTAGCAAAGGAGTAATTAACTACTCACACATATACTTAAAAGAATACAAAATAGCAAAATCTCTTTAGATGGTTACCAAAAAATACTTGCATTTCACCCAGCTGAGTAATTTAAGTAACTGCCTTTCACCCACACGCCACCCATTAAGGCAAAACTCAAAAGTTTATTTTATACATCAGAGATATATTAAAACTAGAATAACTCTAAGTATTGACAGTCAGATATACTAATTCTTGATTTTATAAAATGTTTCCAAGCAAAGCCTGACTTAACTATTCTTGTAAACTTAAAAACAACCAGTTGCTGACCCGGGTACTTCTAAATTATATATATTTTGCCATAGAGTGATCCGTAATCTATTATCACTTCTGTAAAAGCCTCTCCCAGAGCATTAGCATTCCCAAACTGCTAGACAGTTTGGGAAAATTTAGCCCAATTTCAGAATTACAGTTTTTTTCTTCTAATCTTTTTTTCTTTCAGATTTTAACTATTTGGAGGCATGAAGAGTGGAAAAGGCAGCTGGTACAAATAATGATAGTTTCTTTAGTCTATTTATCAATTTCCTAGCACCTGGGATAAATGCTTGCTTGTGTAATTTACATGTCTAAATTTTTGTCTTTCTTAAAAATAATGATGATTCTGACCTGCTTTTGGTATAAAACTGCCACTGTACTGAAATAAAATGTTTATTTTGAGAGCACAAATCTGGTGAGTAAATCAGGTCTCCCAAAAAGCAGCATTACTTTGAAAAACCAAAGGAGAATATGATTATAAACCACAAACATTTCATGCAAATCGAGTACAGAATAAACACTTAGGAAAAAAAAACAAACAAAAAGAAATGGTAAGTTTAAGTAATACAAGGCACTTACTAGGAAATCTCTGAGTAGCCATTTTCCTTAGAGAAGAAAAGATATCACACATTACAGTGGGGCAGCTCATACTTGATTTTACAATTGTACTGAATAACTTATCTACATAGTAGCGTAGATTCTCCTGTAGGATTTAAAAAGGTAAACATTATGATTTGACTATACCTTGAGGGAAAAATATGAGAGATGAGTTTATTAGAAAGTCCCTATCTAATATTCTAAAGCCATGCTTTTACAAACTCATTCTGTTGGAGGGCAATTTATGTTTTGACCTAATTTTGCTAAAAATATGATTTGAGCAGCCAGAAATTATTGCTATAAAAGGAACCTTAATTAAACAAAAATATCAAAATGTGAAGCTATGGTTTTTCAATATAGCCTCCACTTAGGTCTACACACTTCTGACTGCAGTGCTTCCATTTCTAACCCACCTGTGCTCTTCAATTTATCCATGTGCTAATGGCAGCTTTGGTATCCTCTAGGGATTAATATTACGTAGGTTTCTTTTCAATATTCTTTCAGTTTTAGGTACAAAAGAAGTTTGAAGGAACAAGATAAGGACTGTAGTGTGGATGCTATGAGTTTTCTCTATGCATTCTCATAAGGTAGCCCTCCCTATGAAGAATGAGATGGTACAGTGTAATTTAAAAAAAAATCCTTGGTACAGTTTTCCTGGTCTTTTTCTCACCAATGCATTTTTTCATCTTCATAAAACATCTTAATAATACCCCTTGATTATCCTGCGTCCTTTGAGAAACTCTATCCTTTTGGTATCCCCAAACAGTTGCCATAACCTTCTGAACTGACTCATCTACCTTGAATTCATCTCTAAAGTCTTCCAACCTTCCTGACAACACTTAATCCATAAAAATTAAAAAAAAAAACCAAAACACCCAAAAACTATTGTTAGAAGTGAGGCAGTATTCCCATACACTTGCTGCAAAGCTCAATGATTTTGGAAGTTATCTACTTGAGTTTTGCTAAAAATATGATTTGAGCAGCCTTGACCTCAAAATAGTCCTGCCCCCCCCCCCAATGACACAAAATGCACTTTTTTTTAAAGGCACAATTACAAGGCTAAGACATGTGTATCACTGAGAGAATGTCTGCAGCCACCCACTGATCACAGAGACATGCTTAAACACATCTTTCTTTAGAATAAAACTGTACATATATAAACTACAAACCAAGAAGCAATACCTCTTTATTTACTTCTGTATAAATTAATTAGACTCGTCAGATAAGAAGAGGCAAAATGTGTAAAATAAACCTCATAAGAAGCAATAAAGAGGAAACTGTCTGGGGAAAGCTGGGAAGACAACTTGGATAGGGGGCACATGATCTACTGTAAGGAAAACTCGTGGCCGCCACACACTCACTGTTTTCCACCAGAATTCATCGACCTCCTTCCTCATTGCGCCACTTACCCTGATCAATTTGATACCCAGACAAGAGCTAGACAGTGGGATGGAACTAAATATAGCTTTATTATTGTTATTCGAGGCAGGAGAAAAACCATCAAAAAGGCCAGTTATAAAAGGAGGCACAGCAAATGTTGCCATTACAGAGAGTCCCTAGCACTGCTTCCCTCCACATGGAAAGATAGACCTTTAAAAGCCCAATCTTGTAAGTAGTTATAGATGTCACCAAGACATACCTTATTATTTTCTACATTATCTCCCTCTTTCAATTTAATAGGATCAATTTCACAGGACTTTGAGGATTCACATATCTGGAAATAAACATTTTTTGGTCAATGCTCTTTTAACTGACTTAATGGGCCACATCAAAATAGCTACTATTTTTCTAATAATGACAATCCATTGCACCTTTTGAAACTCTAAATACAATTTTGCAAAAGAACTATGAAAATGTCATATCTAAGTATCTATCACAGGAATACAATAACGAAGAAAGAATTATGCAGTGTGCATTCAGTAAAAACCTCCCAGTAGGAAGGAAAGCCATTTCTTTCACTTCTAAAAGTGCTTACACTTACTCTTCCAGTAATACATGAATGGATATATAATTCTTCTAGTAATACATGAATGGACATATAATTCTCACTAATAGATCATTTAATTAAATAAATGTTATAAAGTCAGTATCAGAAGTATATTTGGTACCTCATCCAGAATAGGTTTCAATGTCACTTTCAGGTAGTGCCCCCCAACTATTTTCATCATTTCATCCATACATCGAGTAGCCAAGGAGTTTCCTCTAAATATTGTATTTGCCTCTCTGAAACAGAAATAAGGTGAAACTAAATACAGTAAGCAAAGGCTGTAGAGCCAATAATATGAAATACTTGACTTTGGTCATGTTTTAAATTGTAGTAATATTTATCACATATTTAAAACCAAGCCGTTAGGGCTTGCAAACTTAACAAAAATGTAGAAAACAGAATTTTAAAAAATACCAAATAGACTAAATATTTTGGATAGTTCTAAATTACAAATATTTTGGATGGTTCTAAATTACAATCTAATATCAAGTAGATTAAATATTTTGGCTGGGTTCTAAATTACATATTCCAATGTTCACAAATGAAGCATATGTGGACATTGGGCCTTTACTCAAGTACTCCCTCAATGCAAGAACACTTTGTTCTATTAAACTGGCATTCCATGATGTTCACCTTCCCGATACAATCGCTGTAGACAAAGTGCGTGCATAAGCAAATGTGGTGAAGGAAGCTGATGGTGCCCGGCTATCAAAAGATATAGCATCTGAGGTGTTAAAGGCTTTTAGATAAACAAGCGACCATCTAGCTCAGAAGCAACAAATCTCACATGGAAGAAGTACACCTGCCTGGGTGCAGTGTAGCAACAATGAAACATACAACTTTCCTCTAGTTCTTCGATGCTTCCTCCCGCCTACTATCATGATCCCAATTCTACCTTGCAAATCTGGCTAGACCAGAGGATGTACACTGGTACAGATAGGAACTGGAAAGCCAGGGAATCCAGGTTGGATGATCCCTACAGTACCAGTGGTGTGAGTGGTGATACCGGGAGGGAGGAGGGAAGGGGGAGTAGAAAGGGGGAACCGATTACAAGGATCTACATATAACCTCCTCCCTGAGGGATGGACAACAGAAAAGTGGGTGAAGGGAGATGTCGATTTTATAATTTATCAAGGATTCATGAGGGAGGGGTTAGCGGGGAGGGAGTGGGGGGAAAAAAAGAAAAGAAAAATGAGGAGCTAATTCCAGGAGCCCGAGCGGAAGACGAGTGTTTTGAGAATGATGAGGGCAACGAATGTATAAGTGTGCTTTGCACAACTGACGTGTATGGATTGTGATAACAGTTGTATGAGTCCCAATGAAATTATTTTTAAAAAAGAAAAGAAATGGAACCACAGGGAATCTAGGACAGACAAACCCCTCAGAACCAATAATACCAGGAGGGGAAGGGGAAGGTAGAATAGAAAGGGGGAACTGGTCACAAGGATCTGCATATAACCCCCTCCCTGGGGGACGGACAACAGAAAAGTGGGTGAAGGGAGACATCAGACAGTGTAAGATATGACAAAATAATAATAATTTATAAATCATCAACGGTTCGTGAGGGGGGGGCATGGGAAGGGTGGGAGGAAAATGAGGAGCTGATACCAAGGGCTCAAGTAGAAAGCAAATGTTGTGAGAATGATGACGGCAACAAATGTACAAATGTGCTTGACACAATGGATAGACGTATGGATTGTGATATGAGTTGTATGAGCCCCCAATAAAATGATTTAAAAAAGAAAAAAAAAGCATATGTAGAATGACATGCAGAGACGATAAGCACTAAAACAAGAAAGAGCAAAACAAAACAACAACAAAAATCAAGGACAAAAAAAGAAAAGCCTATACATAGTTCCAGATCTGTTTGTTGACCTCTGCAAATGTGGTAAAGAAAGCTGATGGTGCCCGGATATAGTGTCTGGGGTCTTAAAAATAAACAAATGGCCATCTAGCTGAGAAGCAACAGAGTCCACATGGAAGAAGCACACCAGTCTGTGTGATCATTAAGTGTCAACGAGATCAGGTATCAGGCATCAAAGACCCAGAACATAAAATCATATCAATGTCAATGAGGGGGATTGCGGAGTGTAGGCCCAAAGCCCATCTGTAGACAATTGGACATCCTCTTACAGAAGGGTCATAAGGATGAGAAAAGCCAGTCAGGGTGCAGTATAGTACTGATAAAACATACAACTTTCCTCTAGTTCTTTAATGCCCTCCCTCCCCGTCATGACCCCAATTCTACCTTACAATTCTGGCTAGACCAAAGCACGTACACTGTACAGATAAGAGCTGGAAACACAGGGAATCCAGGACAGATAAAGCCCTCAGGATCAATAATGAGAATAGCAATCCCAAGAGGCTAAAGGGAAGGTGGGGAGAGAAAGGGGGAACTGATAACAATGATCTATATAGAACCCCCTCCCAAGGGGACAGACAACAGAAAAGTGGGTGAAGGGAGACATCGGTCAGACATGAAAAAAAAAATTTATAAATTATCACGGCTTCATGAGGGAGGGGAAAAATGATCTGGTACCAAGGGCTCAAGTAGAAAGAAAATGTTCTGAAAATAATGATGACAATGTGTGTACAAATGTGCTTGACACAATGGATGTGTATATGGATCATGATAAGAGCTGTAAGAGCCCAAAATAAAATGATTTTTTTTAAATGAGGCTTATGTATGTGTGTTAATCACTACCTATATTGGGCTGGCAGTTCCAATCCACCAGAGGTACTACGGAAGGGATTCCACCACTGGAAACTTTGTGGAGCTAAATTCAACTCTGAAATCTGTTGAGTTACTAAGAATGAGGATTCAGCCACAGTCGGCTGAGTTTGGTATGCACAAATAACTGTCCTGGACTGTGATGGAAGGAGGAAGCCACTGGAGAGCTTTCAATGTCACACATGTGCATGTAAGAACAAGACCTAATAGGAAAAACTTGCTGTCCTGTTGTTTTATTTGTGACACTGGAATCACTGTTATAAGATTAGTGACAAGGGAAACATCTCCACAGAGTAAAAAAAAAAAAATTGCGTGTTAACTGTTATCTTTACTGCTGGCAGACTGCTTACCACTTGCTAAACGTTTTAGTCAATTGACTACACAGCAAGCCTAGCTCAATACAAAACAATTCAGATCAAAAAAGCCATTCAGCAGGCTAAAGCCCAATTTCAATGGCACATAATTAACATCCAATAAGCTAGAACTCTTACTGTGTGTCTTTCAAATCCAATTCGGCCACTGCGGTGGCAAAAGGAACGAGTTTATCATGATGCAGCAGCAGTCGCACAAGAGGGAAAACAGCATCATTTTTATCTCGACATATTTCACCCAAAATGTAAGCAGCTGAGGCAGATATGGGCTAGAATACAGAAAGAAGGGTAATAAGCACAAAAACCAAAATTAAATATCACAGCTCATGATTAAACTTTCAATCACTAACCAGTTAAAGTAATTCAGCTGTGTTCATTGACTGTTATCTGTTCTAACAAGTAATGCTTAATTGTCTAGAATTTTAGTAGATGAAATCTGGAGCACACAGATAAATTCTATCTACATTAGATTAAATTGTCAATTACATGTATACTTATTGCTTTAATAAGACTCAATACGCTGAAATCTTTTCCCCCCATCATTTTAGTATTTTTAAAAATACCTGGATATCTGGTGATTTTAGCAGCAATGTTTTCAAAGGTCCGTAATACTCTGAAGGAAGCACATAGTCTTCTGAGTAACATATATTTAACCGAAGAGATCCCAGGTCATCAGTTTTGGAAGACTTATTTCCATTGTCTTTTGGTTGTAGTAAGTACCTAAAGTAAAAGATGCAATGAACGGCATGTGAGGCACATCAACAGCTGAACTATGAAAATTCTGAAAGGTTAATTTATTTGTTAAGGTTAGGAAACTTAATAAGCCATGGGCTAGTAATCTAAAGAGGCTTATACTAAGCCAATAATCCAAGAAGTAGGAGTGTAAGAGGAAGAACATAGCATCAGGATTGGAGGAAGGCTTATTAACAACCTGCCATATGCAGATGATACAACCTTGCTTGCTAAAGTGAGGAGGACTTGAAGCGCTTGCTGATCAAGATCAAGACTGCAGCTTTCAATATGGATTACCACTCAATGAAACGAAATCAAAAATCCTAACAACTGGACCAACAGGTCACATCATGATAAAAGGAGTAAAGGTTGAAGTTGTGGAGGATTTAATCTTGCTTGGATTCACAATCAATGCTCATAGAAGCAGCAGTCAAGAAATCAAATGACAAATCTGCTTCATCATACTTTATAAAAGTGTTAAAGAACAAAGTTGTTATTCTGAAGACTAAGGTATGGGGAAAGGTTTAGAGAAATGGAAACACTGCTTTCAGACATGCTGAGACTAAGACAAAGGATATGTCAAGAAACAATACCTTCCATTTTGGTATTTTTTGTTTAATAAAGATTTGTAAAACTTGGTAGGAGTACTTTATGCCTTACCCTTATATGCATATTTCTAGAACTACACACTGGCTGCTAACGGAGAGGGAAACTCAGGGACACAGAGGAAGAGAGACTTTTATCTTGTTAACTCTGACCATGTATCACCTATTCCAGAAAGTATAATAAAGCTGTATTATCCACATAGGTTAAAATAAAAGCTAGTTAATATTGACACTAACACTGAACAGAAGCTTCAGTTAAAACACACACATCATTACTAGGGAATGTCAAGAAAGGAATGAGGTGACTGAGCTATCATATCATTTGAGAATAAAATTAAATTGGAACCATGAAAAAAATCCAAAATATACATTATATTGAAAAGGATGGCAAATCGAAGACTTTTCAAACAACAGAATTACATTCTGGTAACTATTCTCTTTCCTAATATTAAGATTAGGAAGAACATGCCTGAAATCCTAAAGGTGAATAAATAAGTTTTTACAAATTGTATTTTCCTGCAGTTACCATCAGTACCACAAGGGAATGCTACAGCTCTGTAAATGACAAGAGTCTCACGACCCATTTCCAAAAACAGGCAATGGCATTTACATTTTATTATTTCTTTATGTTGTGGATAAATGAAGAATCAGACATTTTTATTTCATCCTGCCTAAATAGTTTACATTTATTACTTTTAGGAAGTATTTTAAAATGTTAATACTATTACCAAAGAAGAAAAGCTATACAACTCAAATGTTCTGTCTCCATACATCAAGCCAAGTGAGTTGGACAAAATTTTATATTTAAAGGGGATGACTGGAAATGGCCTGACATATAGAATATAGGCTATATGGCACATTCCAAGCTCATGTTGAAGGCGCCTGGGAGGCACAGCATTTTTGTTTCTTTGTACTGAGTAGTCTGTCATATAATTTGAAAGACTTCAAAAACTGAGTTCAGGAGTTTTCCTTTGAAAGTGTACATAACATGCTAATTTATGGAAATGAAAAGGTAATCAGGGAGGCAGAAAGGTAGGACAGACTGATGTTCATACATTGCTCATAGTGAATAAGTTTAATTTTTCCCCTCTGTGGGTGTATTTTAAAATTTATTACATACAAAATACCATTGCAAAGGCTAATAAATAAATTAAATAAACAGATAGAGCAGAAAATACAATGATAATTTTGAGTCTGAAAAAAAAATCACTGCTTGAGGGCGCCAGAGTGAATTACATTATGCCATATGACTGTTGATGTCTCCCCAACACCATGGTCATGAGCCACTCATTCCGTCGAGATGGTGGTTATGTCTAAGAAGTTTTCTTAACTTTCACCCTGCATACTCTACCACATTCATGGATATACTTGCAGCCTAGGTAAACCTGTATCTACAAAAGAATACCCCTCCCAAAACAGGATTTTTTTTCAAAGCTATTTAAATTGTTTTACAAAACACTGTCAAAATACTCTCCATTACACTTAGTACATTTGTCAAATCTGCAATTCCATTCTTGGAAACATTTTTCAAACTCATCTGTTTGGATGGCTGACAGCACCTCCCTCTTTTTTTTTTCTTTACCTCTTCAACATCATCAAATCACTGTCCTTTTATGTCGTTCTTCATTTGCAGAAACAAAAAGAAGTCGCACAAACGAGGTCAGGTGAGTCAATTGCTTGGAGCAAGAGAAGCAGGCTGTTTTTTTTTGTTTTGTTTTGTTTTTGCCAAAAACTGGTGCACTGAGAGGGCTTTGTGAGCAAGTGCATTGTCATGGTGGCAAAACCAGTCCAGCTGCCTGTCTGCCACAAATCAGGCCCTTTCCCCCCCACACACTGTTATGCTATCTTTTTAGAAACTCTAAATAGAAAGCTTGATTAACAGTCTGACCTGGTGGAATAAACTCCAAATGTATTTTTCCCTTCACATCATAAAAACAAATGAGCATCATCTTGATCTTTGATTTCACTTGATGAGCTTTTGGGGGATCAGGTGACGATGGCGTGAGTCTTCTACTGGCTTGATTGGTGCTTGCTTTCAGGGTGGTAAGAAGAGCACCATGTCTTGTCACCAGTAATGAACTTGTATACAAAGTTTGGATTGCTTTGAAGCTGTTTTTTTGAATGGCATGTTTCCACTCAATGCTCTTGGTCCTGGTCAGTCAGAACCCCTTGGGGCACAAACTTCACAGCAACCCTTCTTGATCCCAAAGCTTCCATTAAAATTCACTGAACCCAACTCCAAGATAGTCCAGATAACTTCCCCATCTGTCTTCAAGTACAAGTGCATGAATTCTGCCAACATTTTTGTCCATTTGGGAAGTTGACAGACATCCAGAATGAAGGCTGTCATCAATTAGCATTTCACCTTTTTTTGAAAGGTGTTTCACTTGAGTTTTTCCCATAGTGCTGTCCTTATAAGCTGTGTTCAACATCACAACAGTTTCTGTGGCATTTTTCCAGAGCAGGAAACAAAATTTCACAGCCACATGCTGTCCTCTTAAATCAGCCATAACAAAAAATGAGGTTCAACTGGAACTTTTTACAAAAAAATTCATTGTGACCAGAGAGAACCTTCCCAGGTAACGCCACTGGGTGCACTATCTCAGCAAGTTGTTAGACGTTTGCCTAGCGTGAAAAAGGAATACTATGAAAACTCCGTCCAGTGGAGTTTTCTGTTTTTTTGGGGGGCACCTCCTTGTATGTACATTCCCTCCCATACCCACTCAATCTGTGTCTGTATCCATTTATTTACTCATAGATCACCATGATTGTAGGGCTCTGTGTATTTAACAGTACTTACCTCTGTTGTCTTAAGATCTTCTCCCTGTCACCATCATTTTTTGCTGACCTCACTCTTATTACATTTTGCCTTTCCCTTCACCCAAGTTAACATGTGTCTACCGGCTAGCCAGTATTGACCCTTCTTGCCCTACCTACTCCTGGTAACCATCAAAGCATGTTTCTTTCAGTGTTCCATGAACTTTATATAAAGGCCCCTTGTGCTTATATTTCTACAATAATGAATTAGTGATTAAATTAACTAATGTTAATGACTTCTGGCTTACTGCTAATTGTTCATTGAAAGCACTTATTTGCATATACAATATATTGCAGGAGATGACCTACTATGGAGTTCTCTGGAACTTATCTTCTTACCATGCTTGATGAGAGGTATCATTTCTTAACACATTCACCGGAACTTTAATTTCACCTAGGAAAACATCTTGGACTAGATTTCCATTGTTCCACAAATCGATCCTGAAAAAGGAAAACTGGCTTTGTTTTCTACAAACAGTGTTTAAGAGAATAAATACCACACATCACTGTGGTGTGTATTAAGGCATTAATTTTACATGCTTAAAAGAGATGTTAGCGTTGACATACACCTTACTATCTAAACTAGGAAAGCAAAATACTGGACTAGCTTTTACTTAAAAGCACAGAAAGTAAAATAAATTTAGTCTAAAAGAAGTCACCTGAAGTTTCCTAGTTTCAAGTATAAATTTTCTTTTAACTGTAGCAATAAGAACTATAGAGTTACATTGTTGATTTGTGGCAAAGAAAAAAAAGCAACCTAAGATTACAGTTTCTATCCCAATTATATAACCAATTAATATGTGAATATAGTTGATTTATAAAAATATATTACCTGATTACTTGAAACATGATTAATATACCTTCTAGATGAACACACTGTTAATACCACACCTACACATGCACTTACAATAACCTTCCCCTCCCAAACAGCATAGCTATTTAAGACCTAGGAAATAGCACAAACTCCAAACACATGCACCTGTTTATTATCTTACAAGACTTCTTACCTCACTGAAATGTCTGTTAGACAGCACATATGTTAAGAAGAATAAAAAAATTATTTCTAAGTTGGCTGAGATATAACTGGCTTTCTGTGTATTTTCTGTATCTATTATGCTACAACTCAGAAATTAAGGGACAATTAAACTGAAAATATAGTTACTTGAAAATTAGGTCATAGTTTGTTTATAAAATAAGTACACTTGGCTATTTCTACAAAGAAATCTAATTTTGAAAAGATAACTTGGATTTAACCTGATGCAAATTTCATTAGCCAACCTGCTAAAGGGATTTATATTAAGTCTTTCTCACTTCTTTCAGTTAAATTTAGGATTTTATTTTGGCACAGAACAAAGTACTTACCTAATTTCTAGCTTTTCAATGTCTTCCTCTTCCACCTGGAACTGGGACTTCCTCGTGTAGCTACTGGATCTGGTTACCTATAAACAAAATATTTTAGTAAAATAAAGAAAATCATTCCTTTTTCCTACATAAAGTTATTATCCTCAATATGTTCAATAATGGATATGGTGAATACTGGAAGGATATGTCAAGTTAATATTTTACCCAACAGTTGAGTAAAGAAAATAGCCAAGGAAGGTAGTTGAGAGGCGAGATCATTAGGTGTGTAAACAAAACCTGTACTTCCATACACTCTCAGCCACTCTGGGTTGCAGCACCAGGTTCTCTGGTCCACTTGTACAATCTTCCTATCACAAGGAGGCTGCATATGACAAGAACTGTTTGAACTTGCCCAGCAAACCCATCTTTCTCACATTTTTGCTGAAAATATCACAAAATTTGACAGGAACTTCCTCAACTACTGTTTACCTGACCAGGTCACTCTCACATAAGCCTTTGATTTGAGTTTTCTTTCATTCTTCTCCTGAGCAAGAGAACCAGAGGATCCTCCAGCGTTCTAAGAGGACCCCACCTACACATAGCATGCAACACGCCTGCAGGAAGCACACCATCTTCTCCTTCTTTTTCTGACAAATGCTTTCTTGACCTGCACTAATGATCCCCTTCATCTGGGTGACATGTTTGCATCTTTGTATTCTCTTTGGCTCTTAAAACTTTATAATAATTAAAAAGACAACCTTAATAAATATTCTCCTTAAATTATATTTGAGATTGGAGTCCCTTTTCCTGTCTCAAAGAGAGCACAAGCTAGTTTCCAATGGGCAGAAATGATTTGGGAGAGACATGTAGCCAAGACTTATTTTAGAGTAAAAAGGAGACCCCATTTTAAATATAGTTTAAAAAGAAGATTTATTTATTCAAGCTTAAGAGACAAAAGGAAGACACAACATATCATCTGGATGAGGGAAGCCACCAACAGGAGGTTGAAATGGCTTCCCAGGTTCACAATTAGAGATTAAAATCTTAGCACCCGTTAGTAAAGGGCTATAGATGGCAGTGACTGGGATGCGGGGGAGGGAAAGGACAAAGGAAATTGTTACAAAAGCATGATTGGTGGCCAATCAGCATATCACCATGGCAGACACTTCCTTCTTTAGAGAACTTAGAAGACTCATCTAGGGCCTTCTGACCAATGCAGTTGGGGCAAGAGTGATAGGACATGGCTCCTGTCTAGGACGCTCCCTGTACTGTCTCCAGTTTGGTGACCTCCATCAAGGGCACACATGCAGTCTCTAAGAGAGACTGTCCTTCTCTAAACTGTCTGGAGAGAGTGAAGCTAATCCACACTCCAAAGCCCTCTGCCTAAGGATTAGACTACCTACTGTAAGGCAGCAGTGACTCCATGACAGGCCGAGCCTCTTAAAATAGGCCTAAGTTTCATTTTTCCAGTTTTAAGTTTCGTTTCTCTAACAAAGTCACCCTCTCCCCCGAAATGATGCTGACCATACCTGAAAAGTCCTGAGTGACCACAATTGGAATGTCCCGAGAGTGGAGCCAGTCAACCCAAAAGACCTACATGACCAACTGTCTCCAGATGAAGTCATTGAACTACGGGAGGGTGAGGAGGAACAGTTTCACCCAGAGGGGGATAGTTTCACCCAGCTATGCAACCTGTAAAGAGTATAAAAGCTTGGCTTGTGCCCCAGGCTGGGGTCCTCGTCTCGGAGGAGGCCACTGCGTTGGTGCTCTGGGACTTGGGCCCTAGCTCGAGCTAGTTAATAAACTCCTTTGTTGTTTGCAGCCGTGGTGACTTTGCCTCTCTGTTCCTGGGGCCAAGGGATAGCCGGCAGCAACACTACTACCGTGGTTCCTGGGCAGAAATCATTCAATGGAGGCTCACTCTGTGGGAACTCTGCAATCTATGGGAGGACCTAATCTGTGCGGGGATTGGGGGCTGTCACTGCTTTGGTACCCTTTTGCAAAGCAAGGTGCTGAGAAGTTAACACTCTAATACAGATCGTAGTCATCAGTGGGGTGGCCTGATGATTGCAAGGCTGCCTCTCCTTTCAGGAAAGCCCAGTCTGAGGTCCCCTGCTCTAATCCCAGAGACCTCATATGGAGGGAATGGGGCCCAAGCAAGAACACACCCCCAATCTGGCCTTTTTGGGGTGAGGACATGAGGGGCTCTGGGCAGGAAAAGGGCGGCAGAATATTTCCAGGCCCGAAGGGAAAGGACTGTAACTAATTCAGAAAGGATTTAACTGGAAACGCCCCAGGGGGGTCACGGCAACTTGGACCACAGGCGCTAACAGGGTGCGGGCACAGTAATGTCCCCGGGAACCCAGACTCAGCTGGGGACGCCAGGCCTGCAGAGGACTCAGGGTCTGGGATGCATATCCACTCCATCTTCTTTAACTGAAGTTCTGTCAGCTTATTCACTTCACACAAGTTGCAGAAAAATTATTTTTCCCCTTTCCTTTTGCAGACAAATATCTAAAAGGTGTAATCCACCCTCACAGCCTCAACTTCCTCACCACCCACGCACTACAGCAGCTTCTCACACTCTGCCTTCAGCAGACTGCTTGCCTACAGCTCCCTCTTCATCTCCAGATGTGGTCATCGGTCCTTAGTTCTCACCTTCTTTGATCTCTGCAGCACTTGTACCAGTGGTTGTAGACCAGCAGTTCTCAACCTGTGGGTTGTGATCCCTTTGGAGGCTGAATGACCCTTTCAAAGAGGTCGCCCCATTCATAACAGTAGCAAAATTACAGTTATGAAGTAGCAATGAAAATAATTTCATGGTTGGGGGGGTCACCACAACATGTGGAACTGTATTAAAGGTTGAGAACCACGGTTGTAGACTTTTGTCATCATTAACATGCTGTTCTCTGTGTCGACCAGAGGGCTATCCTGGCACTGAGGGTGTGAGGATTCCCTGGGTGGTGCACCGCTTGGCTATTCAGAAAGGCTGACTGTTCAAACCTACGCAGAAGGTCTAGTGATCTGCTTCTGAGTGATCACAGCCATGAAAACCCAACGGAGTTTAGTTCCACCCAGCATATATGGGGTTGTCATGAGTCAGAATCATTTCAATGAAAGGGTTTCTGTTGTGTTCAAATTCTGGCAAACTTTCGCTATCTACATTTCTTTCTCTGATCCTACTTCTTCCTCACAACCTATAAATATAGGCAATATCCAAAGTTTCATCCTTAATCTTACACTGAAAATAACCTGGCAGTACATAGTGCTATACAGTTTACAAAGTGCTTTCACATCCATTATCTCCTGTGTTCACCAAAATGCTGCTGGGCAGGCAGGGATAGGGTCACTATCCTCTTCCTAAAAGGAGGAAGCAGTGTGTCTAATAAGCAGAACTGAACGAAACATATCTGCTTTTCTTTATAGACCCCTCTCTTCCCTTGGCTTTCTTGACTCTGTGAGGATCCTGAGTTTTTATCTACAACTACCTCTCTTATGTTTCTATAATGAATGACTTATCTGAATATTTTACATATCAGACCTCTAGTCACTGCTCCAAACTCAATGAGTCACTTACCTTTCCCTTTCTCTAGCTCTGATGGTTTCCATAGGGACAGTGCCTCCCTTTCTCATGCTGGTTTGCCCTTTGTAGTTTGTCTCATTTGCCCCTTCTTCTCTAGTCCCATATTACTCTTGGATCCAAACCAAAAGCAAAAGTCAACACCACTGACTTGGTGCTGACTCAATGCAGCCCTATAGGACAGGGTAGAAGTGCCCCTGTAGGTTCTTTATTATTATTTCTTTATAACTAAACTACATCAGTTGCCTAACCGCTTTTCTTTCTCCCTATACCACCTGGCCCACAGATGTTAATTCTTCCTGACATTGCTTTAAGTCTGATCACTTCCAGTTCAAAAACATTCAATAACTAAGATTTAAGCATCCCCATCTACTGCTCAGTGCCTTTTCTTAGCTGATCCTAATACCTCTTACCATTTTAGTCTTAGCTCCCATTATACGCTTAAACAAACCTTTCAATCAAATCACTGTTTCACGTTCTTTGGGTATAATTTTCTGCTTTTCTATCTCTGTGGCCCTGCTAAAAAATTTTCTTGTACTACTTTCGTCTCAACTTAAAAACAACAACAACAACAACAACAACAACAAAAAACGTTTCTTTAAGTCATGCCAATTACCCTGGCTGGAATAGAGCTCCTCTTGACCTCTTTAACCCCTATTGTGCTTTACTACTGTCTGCGCATAGGCCTGTGCTCACTTTATGTCTCTTGATCTAAAGAGAACAGAAACTGACTCGAACCTATCTTTGTAATTAATCTCCTCGATAAACAGGCCTGCTAGGTACTCTGGGACTCAGTGAGGAGGTGTTGGACTTGAATTTCAGCTGTCAAGAACCCTATGATGCCTGGTTGATTCTAACCTGTGGTATGTGGATTAATGCAGAGTATAATTGCTTAGAGTCAGTACCCCTTTATGTATCTGCCTTCTTTGTTTTCTCCAGGTTAGACGTATAGCCATTCACAAATGCAGAACAAGTATCCAAAATCCTTAGCCAGGAAATGGGTCTCACAGTGTACATTGCTTTCTTGCTAGACTCCATCTCCACAGTTCTTCCTATTTCATTTTTGGCCTGTACTCTTTCACTAATCTATGGCTCAATGTGCTCGAATTAACTCCACCTTAAAATACTATGGGGGAGGAACAAAGGCAAACACACAAATAGGGGATAAAAAGCAATAAATGTAAATTTCTTTTTCAAACTTCCTAAAGTGTTAATCTCAACTATAACATGGTCCATTTTTAAAGCATATGCTTTACTTATTTCATTATTTTAGTTTTCAAATAATATGAAAAAGATTTATTTAGCAAAATTCCAAATACAGGGCTCTAAAGCATTGTGTTCGGGGGCTACTTCAAGGCAGTTGAAATTCTCCATAAAAATAAGCATGTGACCACAGTCCATTGGGCCAATTAAAAAAACACTTTAAAATGAATAATAAGGCCTTACTCATACAGTGCTTTATTGCTTCAAAACATTTTCATATTTGGGCCTCTGAGTTAGTTAGGACTGCTATGTTATCTCATCATAAAATTATCATTTTACAAGGTAAGGTACCTGAATCTCACATTTAGTGACTTCTTCAAAGTCAATGGAACTAGAACTCAGGTGTACTCAGTGCTAATACACATTCCTCACTAGTGGTTCCCAAACGGAGCTCTACAGCAGAATCCTGTGTGGCAGGTAGTAACCCAGATAAAGTGAGAGGTAGAGGAGAGTGTGACAGTGAGGATGCCTGGGCAGTGAGTGTCATCCTAAATTTCCTACTTCTAACTAATCCCAGAAACTTCTGCATTTATTTCCTTTCCACAATAAGCCTCCACTATACTGTATTGCATTTTAGTTTTACTGCTTTCAGAAGAAACTTAACCACTACATAACGGCTAAGGTTGTGTGATTGTATGGCTTCAAATTCATTCCAACTTCTAAGGCCATAATCTTAACCAAAGTAGATTACTAGCTCTTCTCTCCCAGAGAGCTGCTGGTGGGTTTGAACTAGCAATCCTTTTGGCTCTTCGTCAGGACCTTAATCATTATGCTACCAAAGCTTTTTAAGTGACAAACTGGTTCCTTAATAAAGTGAGATCCCCAATCCCAACTAATTGACACCTGCCCCTCCCCGTAGAATTTATTTCAGAGGACAGCACTGAATCTGCAGCTTTGGGAGAGTGACATGTCTGATCAGAGAACAAGGGAGCAAATGAAGGGGGAGGAAGAGAGAGTGGAGCACATCCTGGCCCACCAAGCCTTCAGGACGATATTCCCGCTCAGAGCAGCGAATCCACAGAGAGGACCATATGGCCGGCCCCACTATGAGACATGACATCCCTCACTGACCCATAGCCCTACAGTGGACAACATTGGAGACACAGTGTGGGAATTCCGCTCGATCTGTTCCCACCACACTGAGGCAAAACAGAACAGCAAGGGGAACAGAGCAACGAAGTCCCCAGGAAATACCGAAAATAGACTCTGGGGCCAGGGCTTGGCGCCCCAACAGATTCAACCAGAAAACACTCCTAAAGGCCAACAAACATTCCTTGAACTAACTACAAGCTTTTCTTTCTTGTTGTTGTGTTTTGTTTTTTGTCAGTGGATTATTGTTGTTTTGTTTTATTTTGTTTCTTGGAGTTGCTCTGTCTTGTTTTTATGCATGTTATTATCTCTGCAGGTATGTCTA